GAATCCCACACATATAGGTCCGCAACTGAACTCATGAAACGAGTAAATTTATTGGACGTCATGTTCTAGATAGCTGTCGCATGGAAAGAAGTAGAAAAATCAAAAATCTAAGTGCTTCTGTAAAGCGGGGTTTCCTTGTACTGCAGCAATAGATTCTAAAAAAGGAATGTAAGCTGGACCTGACATATAACCGAATTGGTCAATGATCAATGGTCAATTACGGATAAAAGTAGCCGCCTCCTCCTTCAATCTCTATTACTTTGAACACTCATTCAAAGGAATTGTTTGGATGTCAACTAACTTATAGTCATATGGTTGGTTTGTGGTGGTAGGATGCCACACTGAGAATGCCGCTTGTTTATCGAACGATCGAACTTAACGATTTTGGGCCAACCGTCTAAAAGCTGATCGATCGCCGCAGAGGCGAACTCGAATAAGATCGGCGGGAATGAAACTCGATCGCTGGCAAAGAATGAAATGAGTGGTTCTACTTGACTCGAGATATAAAAGGAGCTTGTGTTCTATGAATAACTGATTTCTGTTCGAGGCCCGGGCTCTGGTTTTTGATTCACGGAAGGCCACACAACATGATTCTCATCACCAAACCTGTATCACAACAGAAAAAAGCTGGTACTTGCCTGCTATATCAATTTCAGCAGCTGAGATATGAATAGTGAGTCAGACGGCGAGCAGGAACATGATTTTAGCGATGTTGTGAAAACCTATACATCCACAGACGTACAGGGTGCTGTTGATATGTTGCGCTCCTACGCAATCCATAGCTGACACATTGGCATGCTTAAACTTGTCATGAACCTGAGGGAAAAACTAGAAGCAGCTTTCACTTCAACTGCCAAGCCACAGACCATTGTACTTCATTTCTTTTCACCTTATGGAAAATGATTATGACACTACAAATGTGTGTATGCGATTTTTACAAAGCGCGCGGAGTTCGATGATTTGCAGGTCAGTTTTTAAAATATTGATTCATAAGCTGTAACTTTATTGCATAAATATTACTCATATATCCCACATTAAATACTACTACTGTAGTTGTCTTAATTATATATATGTAAATACATATATCTATCTTGGTAGGTAGGTCAGGTTTCCATTTTGGGGTCGATCATTTAGGTACAACTAACATATCCGCTGCATGGTTATAAGGCACATGTCAGTGGATAGTTAGTGGCGATATGTCACATCTAGTAACTTAGCCCCGATTGTTTTTACCGTCCACTGTTGCGCAGTGTTCTCGACCACAGATGGGCAATTCTAGCTACGAGTTCGAATCCTAACAGGGGTTAGCTGCAATGCTCACTGGGGACAACCCCCAAAAAGATAAAACAGCCATGCTGTATCTTCCAGACGTGTAATGGCTGTCTGACTGAGCTTAGATGCAATGAATTTCCAACCGTACGATTCCAATCCCCCTATCAATTATGCCTAAAAATTAATTCGTTGGACAAAAACAAATGGATTCCGTGGTGCATCGCATTTGACGAAACTATATCACCCTGAACCTAGGAAATGAATTAGTGAAGATGGTCCGACGGAAGCGTCGGGAATAAGTTCCACATAGGTCGCAGTGACTTGCTGTGTAAGAGATCAGTGCATCAGCTTCCATTTTTTGCTCTACGACAAACACAACGTAGAATTTACATGATCTCAGTAATTGGACCCATAAGATGTCAGTAGTCATGAGCAACTTCCACAGTTTTGACATCACGAAGCCACTGTTCCGTTGAAATGTGTTCATCAGTTCTCAAAACAACATTCGTTACCCTATTCCTCACGTGGACGGATTTAACCTATCCTCTCCCATCCGTCACGTAGACCCAGTGAGGACTGGTGGTGGAAATCATTCAAGCAGCATACTGAATGTTCTAAGAGGTATGTAGGAATTGTACTTGCCAAAACAGGGGCGTTTTAAGTTGGTTGCTTGCGATGCCCTGCAAAACACAATGTAACAATTTTCGATAATTCGATTGTTACTGGTTTCAAAATGTTTTCCTATATCTTTGTGTGCAAACTAAAGTGAAAATGATGTTTTGTTCACAACTTTGTCCTTATAATCTAGACAATTATATGGTGAAAGATATTTTTTGGCACGTGTCTATTTTCCATTAACATTCACTGCTTAATAAAATTGCTGCAGGGGTAGGAGCTTGCCAGAAATTTCACAAATTGTCCACACTTCTATAACAGTGTATGAAATATTTAACATTTTATCTTACTTTTTGTAACAGACTAGCAGTAAACATAGAAGCAAAAAGAACTGAGTTGTAAGCAGCATTCAAGTCCATGTTGTTGCTAAGTGGGTCATATATATATATATATATATATATATATATATATACATATATATACATACATATATATGCATGTATTGGTGTAAGACATCCTGGGGTTACTTGTGTGCAGTAGCTAGATTCTATTGCACCTGTGGATATTTGATCAAGTCCGGAGTGGTAACGTAGCCCCTGAAAACGCTCGAAAGACTGTTCAAGGCTCATTAAGCATATTTTTGAATTCCTGTTGTGGATCAGGATAAGTTATGGGCATTGCATTTCGCAAGCGAACCTTGCAAGAGAACTCCTGAAAGCAAGATGATCAGTTGCTATGCACACAGTCGGTTGACTTTTCTTTGGTATGTACATGAATGCCGCTTAAAAGATTTGCAGTTTGATAACTTTTTCAAAATTCTGAAGAATAAGACAAGTGAAGAGTACAATATATACATGTGATGCTCGATGATACCATCTAGTAATATTTTACAATGAGTATTTCAATGGGATAACAAGCTGACAGGAGAGAAAAGCGTGTCAGGAAGTTTGCTGTTCTCATAATTTTGAGGGAACCATTATTACTGCATGACCGACCCTTCTAAATGTCGAATTGGTAACAGTGCCCCACATTTCCCCCGCTATTCTTTCATCTATCGCCCCTGTACCATAGCAACTTGATCGCCCCAATCTTACTTCACCAGAAATGGATCAGTCATCTTCAGGAGCTAGATTAATTCCAACTGCGAGCAAGATACTACAGACCCAGATTCATTTTGCAACTACAGCTGGAGGTAGAAAAACACACTTCCCCATGCAAGCAAATCTCCACGATCTGATTGGACCTAAGTCTTACTAGGTTTTACGCAGATTCTGGCGTATAATCTCAAGGAGCATAGCTTATTTGGTGAAAGTGTGCTAGTTATGGATCAGCTTCTTTACCAGGCGAGATGGACTGTGTTACTATACAGTGCTATTGTGATCATCCGCGGCCAGTTAAATAGCACCTAATTATAGATTGTTTATTCAGGAGCCTAAAAGTTGTGTTACTTCATAATATGAACAAGGGCCCGTTTCTTTTTGTCTTATTTTGTGAATCGCAAAGAGGATCACATTGATGTTAAAATTTTGCTGAGTGTATCTAAGCATGAGAAATATGGCTGGCAGCTCTTTGGGTCTTAAAAATGGTGTCATTCCTTAGAGAATTCTAAGGCGTTCCAAATTTCCCATGCTCTTTATATCTAGAACAGCGGCAACTTCAAGGCACACTATCACCGGAGGTATTGGACAGAGGCAACAGAATTCTCAGTGAGGAATGACAACGTCAAATGGGAGAACATGGGCGGTCCACAAAAAGTTCTGTTGTCACAGATGTACGTCAAGTTAGGTCTCACCAAACGATTTATCGAGACTCTAGCTAGCGCTTTGGTAGCTTTCAAGTACATTCAAGCCCCCTTTCCACTGCCATCTATAGCAAACATCACGTGGGGCATCGAAGTCAAACCACAGATAAAGCAGATAATGCAATATGCTGAATTCGCAGCCTGTGGTCATAAAACCGAGGAATATGATGAATGTAGGCGTTTTCATTTATGTCTTTAATGGCAGTCGAAATATAGCACTTATCGCCCAGGAGCATAAAAGGTGTTACAGAAGGTAACTAGTTGCTTGTAAAAAGAGCAGCAAACGACGACATATGAAAGCTTTTTCACCAACATCCCCATCAAGAAACCAGTTGACTGGACCCCTTAGACTAACATTTCGTCCAGCAGAATCATTTAAATAGCTAAGTGATAGGTAGGGATAATATGCTGCATACCAAAGTATCCAGCTAGGAATATGTTTGTCGTAGCTAGTGACCTTGAGAAATTAGTAAAATAGTTTATAGTAAACAATGAACATAAAAAAGCTATGTTATTTATGAACCACAAAAACTATTCAGTAGTTAATAGCATTAAGGTCGAAAAGACTCGGTTGCTTTTAACAAGAGAGCAAGTAGTGACCGAGTAATAATTAATAGCTTCCATGCTAAGCGCAATCAAACTACTGAAAGGTTTTGAAGGGTCGGAAAACATCCACAGTGATACTTCTTAGCATGTTTACTCTATTAGGTGATGATGGACGAAAATTTGCAGTACAACCATATGACAAATTACATATGCGTTTCCGTATTACTCCGTTGAACAATGACACCCTACGATAGACGGTCTCGTCCTCGTTTGGACTCATGTGTTGGAGATAGTCTGACCTGGAGTGGAACTCGGAGCCTAATAGTTAATGGCTTATGCCTTGACCACTATGCCACTGAGATCCACTTCGCACAGGAGTAAAGAATTTAAAGTTGGATTTGCATTACCCACCGCAAGGTTGGATTATACGTTTTAGCCACAGGAGGCAAGTTACCGCTTTGAACCGCGACCTATTTTATGAACTAAGCACCATTCATTCCATGGTGATTGACAATACAAGCTACCGTATTTGTATTTGACCACATTCCCGTAGTGTAAGGAACAGCACAAATGGGATCAACCACATTCTGTGGCAACTTACATCAAATGAATTATTACTGCATAATATAATTATGGTTAAGTGATTTTACCGAATATCCACAGCTAGTAAACAACAAAGTGTCTTGCACTCAGGAGTTGAGCAACCTTAAATGAAGGGCGCGTAAATGCGAAAAGCAACATTGGTAAGCAAAACACCGGAACTTACGGGTCACAGGAACCGCACGGATAACGGTGATTGCGACGAAGATAAGTAGAAACGTTCGATAAATATTCATTATTTCAAATCTGCGGTAGAAGAAAGTACAATTCAGTTGAAAGCCGGTTTTACAACGAAGAATTGCATTAATGGAGCTATAAAACGAATTAAGGGTCACCGACCTTTCTAGGCTGAGAAACATATAGTGTTAACGAAGCCGGTTATTCTACGATGTACAAGCTTGGGTAGGCTAATGGGACTGAAATCAGAGTCTTTTTGAAGCAAAGTGAATTCCCTTCACATCTCACGTATAACGTGATGCAACTAGTTTATGTATACAGTAAATGGTAAACGTTGACCACATGTTGACCAACGCTCCAATATGACCATTTCTTTTTTCATTGCTGAAATGTTCACCACGTAGAACTTATGGATCCAGACATTCGTGTTTTGATGATCTCTGTAGCTTGACCACTATGCTCCAGTCTCGAGTGTTGGAGATTTTACATATATATATATATATATATATATATATATATATATAAAGAGAGAGAGTGCTCAAAGCAAACCGAACTTTTCCAGTTACCTATTTACTGATCATTGGACAACACTGTGTGCACTGTCCTTCTCATAGTATTCTCAACTATTGGCGATATCCGACTCCCAACATTGCTTCCATTTTCAGAAAGCCACTAGAACGTACTTTCTGGGATGGCACGCAGGTCCTGCATCTCGCTATGACTTGATAGCGAAGTGCTTTAAGCGTGTTCAAAACGCGTAAATAACTTTAACAGTCACTCCGTGAACATTATCACAAGGGTTAGTTACAAGTATTAATCTAGACAGACGAATATAACTAGCTATAGGAGGCAGAACATTTTGTTCTCAACGTCTTATGTTCCTCAGCTCCACAGCTTATTCTATGTGAGGTCGCAGTTAAATTATCAACAACAGTATGACAAGAGTAAGGCACACGCAAATAGACAAAGCAAGCACTTGTTGTTCAAAATGATGTGGCTGATATTCTGCGGCATACAAACAAGTGTTCGCCATCTGTCGAACGATAGACAGTGCCACTGGGGTTTACATGAAACTCAGATTAAGGAAGACCAACAGTAAATCTTAATTACTGAAATGATCTCCATACCAGTCTTTGGCCTAGTAGACGTTGTAGCTAATTATACCAGGGGATTTTCAGCATGTCAACTTTACGCCTTCCTTAGAGCATAGGGCGAAGGGACATTAGTTAATAAGAGGTAAAAAAAGCATATGCCCGACATGTCCCGTAAGATAAGCGAGGTGAAAACTACAAGATGGAAACACAGTGTTGATGAAATAAAACGCATATTGCAGGACTCACCAAGAGGTTTAAAACCGCGCAGATATAAGTGTTCCGGTCTAGAGTTCAAGGCGAGTCGGATTATTCATCTCAAAATCTTGAGCTATGCCTTAGCAACCAATGTGCGTGCGACCGAGCTAGAAGAATATTCTTGCCTACGTGGGACAGTTTTGTTAATGAGTTGTGGATTGCCATGCGACATGACAAATAACAGTCTGTTCCACAACCGTTTGAAATGAAACGAAATGGAAGAGTAAAGAGAATTCCGGAAGTGGGTGACGGACGTGTATGTACGGAAGAAAAGGCACCTTTCTTCATCACTTAACGTAATTGCGGTCAAATCCAAGACTGAAATCTAAATACGAACTCCCGTAAATCCGTGATTTTCCTTGTGTCACCTCACCTATTTCTACATCTGATTGCAAGTGAATTGAAAACAAGTATTGGGGATACTAACATGAAAATTTATTGAAATCATGAGAAAAGTGGTCACTGGAGTACTGCAAGTTGAAGAAAATGTGATCCCGTCTTGCTTCTGGATGGCAATGGATGACTAAATAGCCTTTTTACAAAGCCTAATCAGAAACCAAGTTGTTTTGAGATTGCTGGCCTCATCTACTCAAAGTACTGGGGTTCTAAATGAACCTAAACTTCGTTGACATAACGCAACTTTTGATCTAGACGGCAGTGAACAAATTGAATGCTTTGGTTGCTCAAAGCTTGGTAGCATCTCCATATATGAGTGAAGGTCACAAGCACGGAATTCCCAATTGGTTGGTGATATGGTATTCAAATGAGACGGAGGGGATGCAACAAAGTATTAGTTAGATGTAACGGCGACTGGCAGTTGAATCATTTTTGCTAACCAGGAAGTTACAACGGAGACATGTCATTGCTCTCGTTCGCTCGTAATCACCTCCATCTACGGCAGATATACGTCGGTACTGATTATCGGTGAGTCGCTTCCTCATACAACCACAATGACCCGTTACTAAGAGAGCGAAAAGAGAGAGGTAGTTATATTATAATGTCTTAAACATTTTGGACCAAGGCGCCTACAGCTTGCAAGCAACGCAAGATCAAAAGCTAAAGCGAGCTCGGTAAGGCCGTCTTACTGCGGCTTGCACTGCTTCGAACCTAACGGATCTTAACATACAGGAAATTCGGCTTTATGTACAGTTCAATCACACGTTTTGTCTGAAAAATGATAGCGCATCACTGATGTTGGTCGAGAGACATTTCCGGTAGGCTCCCTAAGCAGACACAGTGCTGTCCTGGTGGATCCCAGCCTGGATGAGGAAACTAGTCTGCGGCTTCGACTTTCGCTTCTATTCCAATGAGCACCATTTTAGCATATTACGCGAACCATAAACAGAACAAGTCCTCCACCTGCAAGCGATTTGCAGATAATTGTAACGCGGTATTTTTACGAATTGTCTAGTATTCGTCCACGAACGCGACTGGGCTGCTTGGTATGAGCTGAACTCAGACAGCATTGGCGCTTATCGGTCTATGTTTCTATAGTGGAGCGCAAAGTGGAGTAGGCTAAAACGGAGCGAAATCGTTATAAGAGGTAATATAGCTAGGAAGCAAGTTAACTTGTACGGCATTCGGGAGGTCAACACAGATTGTATTGGAATCATAAAATGCCTCATTGTACCTTTCTAAGTCACAAGGACTTTGTGATGTTGAAACATAGGACGCTATAATTTTATGGGAATGTGCCTTCATCACCCGATTTTATAATGAAGCAACTATGGACGATGAGTTTTACGCGCCCACTCCCACGCCTGAACAACTGCTGGTCATCATTAAGACAGCACAGGCACTCTTAACGTTGCCTAATTAAGGAACACCGGACTTTCCGGTAGACCAACGGACAACTTACCTTATTCCGTGATACTTCACACTCGGGAGGAGAAAACGGTAAGGTGATCGGGAACGTAACAGGAGTTGTCTTGGTAGAGCACTTATAAAACCTCACTGAACGACCTGGTGCACGAATGCGGAGGCGCAATTGCTTGATGGCCTGAACACAGGCACACGACGGACAAATGTGTGAACTGATCTATCGGTTGTGGATTGGTTTCATCCAAGTTGGCCAATGCGATTCAACCACTGGTGACATAGGGCTGCTCGTATACGGCCATCGGCACATGTGATAGGGGGCAGTGAATGTTTGTAGCTCTCATACATGGATTTGGTGTCAAAGACGCAAACGGTTTGAATGACGGGCTGGAGGACAAGATGACGTTTAGTCGAAGGTGATTCCTATCAGTCCTAACAACTAAAACAAGCCTGCAGATTTTCCGCTGTATTTAAATGGTCCTTTGTATTGTGCAAAAACGTTACCATAGAGTACCGTTTGTAGTCTTCCTTACCGTGATATGAGTTTTTCTAGTGTCTTCGAACATTTTCTGATGTTTTCGACTGACTGTATTTGACTACTGATATTAGCATCCGTTTACGTACCCTGGTCAGAAAGGCTATTTAATAGTCCTAGACAGAAAGATGAAACATTGAATTTTAGTTTCTGGACTGCAGTAGAGCTTTCGGCAGTGTAAACTGTCAGTTTAACTTGAGATATCTGCATTACGCTGGGATTTCATCATCATCATTATACACGTCAGCTAGAGGTGGGAAACACAGCTACTGTGCCGCAATACACAAAGGAAAAGGAAAATAAATACAACAGTTGCATGCCAGCTGAGCTACCAGCAACGGATAGGCATCGTTCCGGTAAGCTACCAGCCGGCTACTAGGCAAAAAGAAAAATTATTATGTTTTACGCTGCGAAATGAGATCGTAGATGGGGGGAAGCTAAAAGGATGGGAAGGGGCAAAGAAACTCACATCAGGAACGTCACTGAGGTTGGCTCCTTGCCATGTCAGCAAGTGTATCTAGTCAAACGTGTTCACTGTCTTTTGGACCCCAACCAGATAGTCGTGACGCTCTAACGGAAGCCAGCTCCGAAGTGAGAGCATTCAATGCTCTCTACCAAGTCGTTGCTTGGCCACCCCTCCTCTTCTTCCATCCACATCCACGGTGAGCAAACAGAGCACGTCGCGGGAGTCGGTGGGCTGGCATGCGTAACACGTGGACGAATGATCGGAGCCTGGTGCGGGAAATAACGGTGCTGAGCGGTTCAGTTCCTTTCCCTGTGCCGTAAACAAGGCGTCGAACACGCTCGTTGCTCACGCGGTGTTCCCACCAGATGTGAGCCAAACTGCGAAGGCACCGATGGTCAAAAGTAACTATCCTCTTCATGTCCGCCGATCTTAGTTGAATTTCCGAACGACTTCTAGCTGATCCCTACCAACGGTCAGCGCAGGTGAGGATCCCTGCCAATCTTGGATGAACGGTTTGCACTTCGATGGTGCAAAGCAAAGCCCGAAGCGGCTGACAGCCAGTGCTAATCTGTCCAGCGCGGTTTGGCACGTCTGGCAGCTGTCACAGATGAGGGCAATGTCGTCTGCATACTCCAGGTCAAAAAGTCGTTCTCCTGGGAGTAGCTCCACACCTTCCAAGTCATGTCCTGTAAATGCAAACTCCATGGCTTCTTCAATAGCGAGGTTGAAGAGGAAAGGTGACAACGGGCATCCTTGTCGCACACCGCTGGAGATATTGTAGGGTGGCGACAGCTTGTCGTAAGCCCTCACTGTGCCCGAGTTTCGAGCGCATAATGCTCGGATAATATTTATATATTTCTCGTGCACACCTTTCCTGAGTAGACAATTCCAAAGGGCACATCGATCAAGCGAATCGAAGGCACGAAGAGACTGTTTCACAGGAAGTGTCCGCTGACACTTCATGGAAGTAAAAGTTCCTGGCCGCTCACCACAAACACCAGTGTTCCGGCAGTCAAAGTGTCATCAGACCTGTCCCTAATGGAACGATGTAGCTGAAATTTCTAGACCATGTGGCCTTGGGCATTCAGCATCTGACCACAGCCCCATCAAGCGAATTAGAAAGCTATATGGACAACCGTGCACTGTAGTCCAGATCTCGCATATTATCGCTCCATCCGTTGCAAGGTAATGATGCTATTTTTCACCACCCCTAGGTCGTCGTTATCGGTCACTGGTCATGAAACGTAGATGGTGAGAGGCAGCGCTCGTCCGTGTCAGTGAATTATCCATGTGTAACCATCAGCCATGCTTTCTCTAGGTCACTTCATGTGAATCACGTTGTCACAAATCAGGAGGATTTCTTTGTCACGCTACCTCTCATCGATCCCCCTCTGCCCTCCGCTACGTGACACTGCGATATATTGCCGCTTGTGTCTTGTGCTACGGGAACACCTGCCGTCATGTCATATGTACTGATTCAATAAGCAAGGATTATAAAATTCCCCGTAACTCATTACCTCGATGCAGTGGCATTCCAGAGACGACGTTTCTTGCTATTTATTTCTCTACTCATACCAATTCATGCATTGGCATGCCTTAAAAATACTCACGGGTGCAAATCGTCCTCTTCATGGTGCATTGACTACATATCAGTTTCACTGATCAGACAAAGGTACTCCTCCATCTATGCTCGTAGCCATGGGCAATACTAAACTGTCATCCCATATATGGCGCGCTATCTTCTGCACCACCAAACTTCAGTCGTTTACTTGCAAGCTTGCATTGTAATTTTGTTACAAGTAAATTCGATGTATATTACTGTCTATACCACCTATTAACCAAACTTTGAAATCACTATTTTGAGGCTTGTTCACCAACGAGGAAATCATGATCCACGCAGTAACACCGTGCACTAACTTGGGCTGCAACGATCATGCAACACTAGTGTTCCGCTACATGTGCTTATAGATAACACCGTAGATTCTAACGTCGTAACTAATCATGATAATCTGTCTAACCTCACTGGCGCAACTAGCTGGTCTTTCTTAGCCGAGCAATCCCTCCAGGAGTTCAAGTTCAAGTTCAATATCAGGTGGGACTGGAACGATAGGATGAATCCCGTAAGTGTTTCTTCTTGAGTGAGTCATCGATCCAGGAGTTGATAGGGGTCTCCGAATTCTTGATGGGTCTAAAACGAAAATACCAGC